AGTAAAAAAAAGAACTACACGAAAATGTAACCAATGAAATTACTTATTTTGACACACATTTTTAGCCCAATACGTATTAAACTAACGAGGTAATGTGTCAAAAGGCGGACCTTTTTAGTTATTTTCTCAAAAGGAGGACAAACGAGTGTCCGGCTTAAGGCTGCGCCTAAAGCCGGACAGGGCATTTAAAAGCCGGACTGTCCGGCCTAAAGCCGGACAAATGGCCACCCTATCAGCAGCTCACTCAACGCAAAACCTCACTCCATCATGCACAGAGAGAGACAGAGAGAGAGAGAGGCTGCTGCTGTTTTGCAATTTTCAATTTTGTAATCTTTGTTTTCTTTAATTTTTCTTTCAACTGCCCTCAGCTGTTTGTTTGCTCTGTTGCATTTGCTGTGTTGAACCAACTTGCGTGTCTTTTAGTGATTTGTGATTACCTTGGTTTTATTGTTTTTTCAAATAAAACCCTTTTCTTAAAATACAACAAACATGTCCCTGCCTCATCCACAGTGATTTATTTGCGTGCATTGGGTATTTTAAAATCTTAAATCAGTATTTCTTAGGGTGTGAGTCCCCGGGTGGCGTAGTTGGTGGTTTTCCCCTAAATTCCTGTCACACAGAGATTACAGCAAGAATTTATTCCACTGCGGCCAAACAGCAGTGAGATATCGTAAGCATATTTGTGCACCATGGGGCAGCTTATAGTATTTTGTATTCATGCATCTGACTTTTTTCACATGAATAAAAAGGAGGACATTTTGGTTGGTCTCATTGCAAAGACGTCAAGTGTACTGAGGAAACAGAAGCATTAAATAGACAATAATGAAGTCCAAGGCAGTAGAAGTTGGCTAAAATTTCTACTCCTTTTCTTACCTGAAGAGGATTACTAGGGTGAATTGGGACATGCAGGTCCTACACATGAACATAGGGGGAACATTACCATAGAAATGCATTTACGTAAGTGCCTGCTAATGGGAACAGGGAGGATGGGAATGAGAGAGTTTTTGACTGTGTTGTGCAACGAGGTGGCGTCTTATGCTGTGTGATGTGATGCGAGGAAATGGACATTGGTACTTGTCTGTGGACTTAAAGACACTCAGCGCCCTGGGCAGTGAATTTATTTGTGGCAGAACACGCGTCCGAAAATGTTTCCCCCCCAGTTCGCCGTATAGTGGCTTAACACATACAATGGAAATGCGTTAGGGCCTCTACACACAGGTTTCATCTTCATTAACTGCATCTTAACCCATGTGTATACACAGAGTAAAAAATGAGCCCTGCAGTGAAACCGTCTCCTCTGCCTCTGAACCGAGTTGACATGTGATTTTTTGTTGTGCAGATTCCTCCCTGCTCGCGTGTGGAGTGCGAACTGCTGTGCTGTTTGTTGTTGTTGTGTTCAAAAATGAAGAAACGCCGGACGGACGGAGGTCGTCGCTGATCAAAAGGTTAAAATCAAATGTATTTAATAGAGGAGATGAAGTTGTGGTAAAAAGAATATCTCAGCTGAGGAACCGCTGGTCTCAGCAACCAACAGGCCCCAGGTCCGTCCTTTTGACCCCCCCATAGTGCCCGTCTGTTGCCTCCACCAGCCAACTCGAGAACAATGGTTCCTACAGGTATTTGTAACAATGCTTAAAGGTGTGAAAGTTAGTGTCCACACCTCTGGGAGTGGTCTTCTGGTGAGTTCAATGTAACTCGGATTTCGAATGGCCCTTAGTCAATATCAGTTGCTGTATTACATTACATGCATGCATTCCAGTTGATTACATTACATCAAATACAATCATAACTGCATTGGTATTATTCTATTACAGTTGCAGAATTACAGTGGTTTTACAATATTGTCATTACTTTATTGATTACACAGTTTCAGAATCATGGCTGTATTCTGGTGTGCAATATATGCATTTTTATTAATTTTATGAACCGGGTCGTATAGTTGTTTCTAATATCCTACATTGTCTTAATTGTGACGGCCTTTTATCCTTGGAGTAAAAACAAAAACAAGTTGGCTGAAGACTGTTGTCCATCGACGGGTTGAACCTCAGGAGAACTCTGTTATGATGGTTGTGTTCTGATCTTTGACTTTGTGAATCCAGAGTCGTCTGACTCTTTTCACTCGGCCACTAAAGTCTCTGATTGGTGAGAGAGGGACGCTTTTCTTTTGATTAATTGTGGTACGGAGATCGTCTTGTTGTGAAGTGCACCGCTGCACATTTTAGAATACACAAGACCAATTTAAGATCCTTCATCAAATATTTGATGGGAAAACACTGAATACATAATAACAGCTGTGAAAATGAATATGGATTGTTGTAGATAAAATAAATAATGGAATCGTAAAATAAGTACTTTTACAAGGAAATATAATTTGATATTACTGTTTGTTTTACAGCAAAGAATCGTTCATATGAAATCATTTTAGCACACACGTGATGATACAAGATTACGTATATCGTATTGAATTTGAATAATTAGATGTGTTTGTTTCATGATAAATGTTGACTTTTCATCCCTGACAGAGGTCACGTGGTTGGAGGTTAAAAGGGGAAGTGAAACTCGTAACACTCACCTTCCTTCCTCTCTCCATTCACTAATAGATGAACACAACAACGCTCTGGTCGGTTCGTAGTCTTCACACATTCTGCTCAGAGGCTGTTCATTAGCTGGACTCTCTTCAGGCTGTTCAGTGGGATTTGCATGTTTGGTTCTCAGAGAACAGCAGACACGTTTTGTTGGACCCTGGAGACATGGAGGCTGTGGTTGGACTGTTTGTGATGCTTCTGGGAGTCTCTCACGGTGAAGTGTTTCACTTTTAACATCAAGTCTTAAGTTTAATCATTCTCCTCAGAGATGCAGGTCGAATTTCTGAACTTTTCTTAATATTGTGTGCATTATTTGATAGATATTTACCAAATACAGCCTGAAATACAATTTGGTCTTATTTCAAAATATTTGACTTTCAGTATACATAAAAATAAAGTGCTGTAGGTGTAAAACACAGGATGAACTCCTGAACTCACAATTTGGCAAAATGTTTTACAGCCGAATATAAACTTTGGAACACTCATCAAAACACCTGTTTGCATAAAGTTGTCTGATAGAGACACATCTGCACCAAACACACTATTGTTGCTTTAAATTAGCAAATGCCTAAAAGTCATTCATTTTTTTGTTGTTCAGGTGTGGAAACCCACTGTGACGGCCGACAGAACGGAGCTCAGTGTTTTGGAGCTTTGGGAGGAACTCTGGTCCTCCAGCTGATGGACAAAGCCTCAGAAATACATAAATATCAATGGTCAAAAAATGGAACAATAATACTAGAGGGGAGAAACAATAAAACCTCATTTAATAGGATAGAAAACAGATCATTATTTACTCCCAGTGATGGAATATTCAGGATCAATAACCTGATCAGGACTGATGGTGGTGAATATAAACTTGAAACCTTTGGTTCAGATGGAAAGACATCAGGTTCCAGGGTTCAACAGTTGACCATTCAAGGTAAATAACTATTTATTACACGCATCTCATGCTCCACGTGCTCTATATCCGTATCAATGTCTGGACTGCTCTGCATCAGGAACCCTACAGAATGATCAAGATTATGTCAATATGAAAAGTCATCCTAGTGCGTTTCCTTCAGCTCCTGTGTCCTCTGTCCTGCTGGTCCATGAGTGTCTGTCCCATGGAGAGAGGAAGGCGTCCTGCTCCTCTGAGGGAGCAGACAGTCGTCAGTACAACTGGACACACTGACAGACAATACTAACTAAGTAATAATACTAAATATTATCAGTACTGTCACAACCGATTGGCGGAAGCAGAACTTAATCGCAGATTTCCAAATAAAAGTACTTTAATCAAAATGAGAACGACAACCGAAACGCCATCCGGGGGCTCCGGGAGAGACGTAGGCCGCTGCCAGGAAGCCAGGTGGAGATTTGGGGTAAGCAGTTGCCCCAGAGACAGGCAACCTGCTGAATGTGGCGTGGCCCGCCCCAGGCAAGACGGGTTCCCCAAACTGATTCAAGGGACAAAACTCTCTGTCCTTGTATGGTTGCGTCATTCTATCGTAAGGGGTTACTTGCAGAGTTTGATAAAAACTACTTTATTAAAAAAAAAAATTCAAACTGCCAACGGGCAAAACGCAGCCAGAACGGGACTCACAAACGGACTCTTCGGGAAAGACATTCAGTAACGACGCGACCAGGGACAAGAGACACACATGGCTTAAATACAATGGGATGATGCAGGTGATCACGGCAGACAATCACAGGGGCTTACACGACAGGATGTGAAGCTAAACCAGGACCACAAGAGGCAGGAAACTACAAAACAGGACACAAAACCACACTGTGACAGGTACATCAGTTATTCTTGAAGGCTTCATCTTCATTAACTGCACCTCAGCCAATGGGACGCACATATCACAGTGGGTGTTTGCACACAATACTCTGCGTGTTGAGACAGAAACAGATTTCCCCACAAACACAGCACCGTTACGCGATGGTGAGGAGTCTGGTATCACAGTATCAACTAACCTCAACGGTAATTTCCCATCTACCAATAAAACTGGACCCTCCCCCAGTTGTGATTCATGAGACGTTATTAACTCCTCTGCAGTGAATTTATTCAAGTAATTTCCGTTATGTGTGTTCTCTATTCTCAACAAAAACACTTGTAATGTTTGACAAAGCTCTGCGTGTCTCTTGTGTGTGTTTTTTACAGTGGGATCATTGACAACAGCAGTTTGTGTCCTGGCTGTTCTCGTAATTCTGTTAGTGGTCGGGGTCTCTGTCGTCTGTGCTCTGAAGAAAAAGCGAGAAAACAAACCTAAAGGTACAGGACAAAAATCCCTTTTCCCAACATGTAACTGCTAATGACCCTTATGGCAATGTGCTTGTTTACTTTTTTGCCAAAAATGTGATGACGTTGAGACAAGCTCAACAGTTCTATTTTTCTTTCAGTCCAGCTTTTGGTAAAATTAACTTCCAAAATGTCAAGCTATGACTTTAATAATTCATTGAACCAACATACTGTGGTGGAGGAGCTAGTCAGATCCATTATGTTTATTACTTGGAAAGAAACTACTTTAACTCCACTACAAACATTGGAAATGTTGCTTACAATATGTAACACATTTCTGGAAAACCTAAATATACCAATAGATCATGCATTAAGGCAGTGGTTCTCAAACTGTGGCGTGGATGTATTACAGGTTGGGCGCGGGAGAAATTATTTTTTAAAATATTACATATATATAATCCATTATTATATATATATATAATCCACATGGGGAAATTATTCTCTGCATTTTCCCTATCCGTAGTAATTAAGGAGCAGTGTGCTGCTGTGAAGCACTGGGGCTTCAGTGTCTCGCTCAAGGACACTGAGACATAAAAACTATGGAGAGAACACGGATCGAACCGCATTGTAAAACATCACAGCCCTGTTTAGTTATGTCCACTTACTTTTCTTTAACTAAAGATGTAGCATACATGGACATATGTGACATCCAGGCGTGCGTTCGTTTTTGAAGAATGCTTTATTCCTCAGTTTAAACGTGTAAGAAGTGTGCATCAGCGCCAAGTTACAGGTCTCTTTTCCTTCTTCCTTCTCTTCCTCTCTCTCCATCTCCTAAACAAGGACCCCTTAGGTGACCTTAGTGCCTGCATGAGCTTAACTCTCTCACTTACTAAAACATGTACACAACATCTCTTGGCAAAGGAACATATATCAACTTAATAATCAAATAATTAGAAAATCAAATAAATAACTAGTACATGGAATACATGGATTACAGGGGGGTGTCCATTTAATGTACATCGCCATCCTGTGGACCCCACAAAGAGGTCTGACAAGTTTTAGATTTGAACTTAACTGTTAAAAGTTAAACTGTTAAGTTAAAACTTTACTTACTTGTACTGTAACTTACAATAATGCTTTGTGTTGACTTCTTTGGGCTATTTTTGACAAATAATAGTTCTTTTTTTGAACAACAACTCTAACAATGTGCACATTTTGTTTGTTTTTGTCTGATGGAGCAATCTAGTTTACATGAAAGTGACTTAAATTTTTTAAATTCTATTATTAATAAAAGCACACATGGAGTCACAAAATTGTCGTTATTTCAATAAAAATTCAGCATGGACCATTTTGTTACATTTTTGTTGGGGCCCGAACATTTTTCCACATCCAAAGTAGGGCCCGAAAGAAAACGTTTGAGAACCACTGCATTAAGGTAAAAGCAGGCTTTTATTGTTGTAGTTTATAGAATAAAGTAGTACAAATTGGCATGAAGGATTCCAGTACAGTTCAAGCCCCTCAAATGTTTTGTTAAGAAAAGTACTTGAGGACTTTATATATTTCAACATTAAATATACATTTGTGTCTCTTTCCTTTCACTCTGCAGAAGAAGACAACCAGGATTTAATGTATTCTGAGGTCAGGATTGGGCCGCGGCCGGGGAGGCAGATGAAGCAGAGAGCAGAGGAGGAGGTGGTGGAGTACGGGGAAGTGAAGTGTTCACAGTGACACCGACACAATGTTGAACCCGCTGCAGACAGTTTCGTAATTTTCGTGTTTACTTTCACGCTGTGAACTGATGTAAATATGAATTTTTAATGCAATGTCCTGTCCCTGTTTTTGCTCACTGGATTTCAAAGTAATGTAGTGTTAGAATATACTTGGACTGAAATTAATTTATTAATTAATTAAATTAATTAATCATGAACCGGATGTAGAACGAGTTGTTCACAGTATAAACGTGTATTCTCATGCTTACTGTATTTAGTGGGGATTCATTAAACGCTTTGTTTTGTGTGAAGTCAAATTAGACCATGCTATCTTCCTTACGGTCATTTTTAAATAGTTCAGTTTCTAGAGAAATTTCTATGAGGAAGTTTGCAGCATATTTCCTGTTTCCATGGTTTCAACACTTCTGCTTAATTCAAAACGTGGTTTAGTCAGTTGCAGAGGTGATTATAGAGACAATCGTATCACATTTGGTTCATTAAAGTAAATGCAGTGATGAATATGAGAAGGCTGTGTAGCTTTAATCACGCTGCTTACAATAACAGGAAAGTTAGTAATGAAATTTTTCTATTTTAGTAGCTGATGGCATAAAGCATGCAGTTAAATTACATTGTTTCACTGGATTGCCAGCAACCACATTGCATTCAGTTCCTCATACTTTTCCTCCTTTACTAAGATCTAGTCCCAGAAACATTTTGACTTGTCATACTGTTAGGGTTCGGAAAGCCCTCGAAGGAGGCCTCACTCCTATGCTCTGGCCCTGGCCGGAAACGATGAATGAAGAGAGCCAACTTGCTCAAATTAAACAATTAAAAGCATTTAATAGCTAAACAACGTCATATGGAATACAATTACAAAGGGAAATACAATACAAACAGTAAAATATTTCGCGAAATAGAGAATTCTCTCAGTCAAGTATAAAGTGACTTATCAAAGCGGCTTCAGAAATTTTTTCAACAGTTTCTTCCCCGCTTTGGTCCTTTGAAAACTCTTGAGGTGTGTCTTCTTTGGTGCATTTGAATGTCATTGGCTTATTCTTCAAAGGGTCCCCTCCTGGACTGTCCCCTTCACGTCGAGGTGTGAAGCTGCAGCTGTAACCTGAAACCTCTCTGTCCTATCTGTCCCTCACATTCCAATGCATTCAATGTAGATACATTTGGCTTTATGCCTCAATGAGTGAATATAACAAAGCATACATCGTTTAAGTCTTCATCTTATAACTAGTACACTTTAATTACAACACATCATTAATGATCATCGTTCATCACACTTCATCATAAGATCTAATCCAGTATATGTGGTCCAACACTCAAAACATTTGCCTCAATCGGCTGTCTTACATTCAGTTGCTCATCTACTACCTGATAGGAGAGAAAACTCCCAAAAAACCCTCTTTGGGGAGAAAATTGGGAGAAATCCATAATGGACGGCAACTAGCCTCCATCCCCAGGTTTTAACATCACATTCTGACAGAATGTTAATGTGTACAGTGTTTATATGAATTACGTGACTATACTTTGTGTTAGATTCATATTACATTCACTTGCTAATGTAATAACTAATATCTAACATTACACAAACTACAATTCTAGAATAAACATTTTTACATGTACAATCATGTCCATGACTAGGCGTGCACTTCTACTTAAATCCCCAACAATACTGAGCATTCAATGTGTTTATCTTTTAACACCATCATGTTTTTATATTAAGTTATTCATGTTTCATCTGCCTGAGGTTTAACTATGTGAGGAACACAAGTGGTGTACAAACACAGCCTGCCAGCAACACCTCAGCCATGTGGTCGGTAGCTTAGCGTCTAGTTAGTTCCCTTTCTGAGCTCTTCCTCCTTATCTCGCACACACACACACACACACACACACACACACACACACACACACGCACACACACACACACACACACACACACACACACACACACACACACACACCTCCCCCTACACATGCACAAATCAATGTTTTTATTTGTTGTTTAGATATTAGGATATCGTATAATAGCTTTTGTTGATTTCCCATGGTATTGATCAGATTAGTATTGTTGTGAGGAACACAAGTGGTGTACAGCAGCCTGCCAGCAACCCCTCAGCCATGTGGTCGGTAGCTTAGCGTCCAGTTAGCTCCCTTCCTGAGCTCTTCCTCCTTATCTCTCACACACACACACACACCTCCCCCTACACATGCACGAATCAATGTTTTTATTTGTTGTTTAGACATTAGGATATCGTATAATAGCTTTTGTTGATTTCCCACGGTATTGATCAGATTAGTATTGTTGGAAGTTAATAAAACCTGTTATACTTTAAGGAGCAGTTTTCTGTGATTTTGTGCATATGTGTATTGTAATGCTGGCTAGATACATAGCCAGCGTAGAAAAACTCAAACCTTCAATTCCGTGCTCTTAACGAGTGAATATTAATTATGAGACTTGATTTATAGTTTGGTTATTAGTCCCTTTTTAGGCTAGTGCCCCGTTATTTATTTATTTAGTGAATGATCTCAGCAATTATTAATAATTCCATTGATGTCAATGATTTAATTTCACACTAGCTATTGTTGGGGTTTTAAGTAGAAGTGAATGTCTAGTCATAGAATTTGTAGTGCGTGTAATGATGTTTAGTGATAGAATTGTAGTTTGTGTGATGTTAGATTAGTTATTACATTAACATGTTAGATGAAGTGAATACAATGTGAATCAAACACAGTTTATAGTCTTTTAAAACGTAGAAACACACTACACATTTACATTCTGTTACAAATTGATGTTAAAACCTGGGGACGGATGCCAATTGCCGTTCTTTATGGATTTCTCCCAATTTTATCCCCAAAAAGGGTTTTTTGGGAGTTTTTTCTCCTGTCAGGTAATAAAATGAACAACTTATTGCGAGGCAGCCGACTGAGGCAAATGTCTTGAGAATTGAACCACATGAACTGTTTTAGATCTTATGATGAAGTGTGATGAACGGTGATCATTAATGATGGGTTGTTGTAATGAAAGTGTACTAGTTATAAGATGAAGACTTAAACGATGTATGCTTTGTTGGGTTCACTCATTGAGGCATAAAGCCACTGTATCTGCATTGAGTGCATTGGAATTTGAGGGACAGCTAGGACAGAGAGGTTTCAGGTTACAGCTGCAGCTTCACACCTCGACGTGGAAGGGACAATGGAGGAGGTGACCCTTTGGAGAAGAGGCCAATGACATTCAAATGCACCAAAGAAGACACACCTCAAGAGTTTTCAAAGGACCAAAGCGGGGAAAGACTGTTAGATCTTCTCCTGCAGCCG